TCAGGTAACGGAGCATACAGTTTCGTTGTTACAATTGCAGATTACCTTCTTCAGGTAACGGAGCATACAGTTTCATTGTTACTATTGCAGAGATTACCTTGTTCAGGTAATGGAGCATACAGTTTCATTGTTACTATTGCAGAGATTACCTTGTTTAGGTAATGGAGCATATAGTTTCATTGTTACATTCCAAGGTTAATCTTTGGTAATCCTATCCCTTGTAAAAAAAAATGTTACTCAACTTATCCATATGATGGATGTTGATTTGGATAAGAAAACTTAAACAAAAAAAATGAAACTACTTGTGATAGCACACATAAATAATGCATATGATTATGTAATTCCAAGAGTGTGCTGATAACTTGTTCATTTGTTTACACAAAGATGTTCCCACTGTGATAATTTAGCTTTCACTGTACTCTGAGAGGGTGTCTGAAGTACAGTTGTAAAGCAATAAATAAATGATTGACAACTTTGAAAAATGTTTCTTTGGCTGTAAACATAGTATGTTACAATTTGTAGGGTTGATTTAGATTTAATTTATATTTTTCAACTTTTCATTTTACACTGTATTGCTGATTTTGTTATGCTTAGTGTCAACGTAGAAAACTTTTTTTTCAATAAACTATTTTGTGTTATTCATTTAGAAGGTTCTAGAGGTTATGGAAATTATATTTAAACTATAAAGTTAATTTTTTTTTTTTTTAACCTGAAAATTGCTTTGCGCACTGACTCTGTGGAGGCTTAGTAATTTCTTTATAAGACTTGTAGTGTTTACTTAGCTTGCCAATCTTCATGGAGATGCTCGTACTGTATTCAAGTTATAGTATGTATAGTTTTATGGTTACATGGTTGGTCAAATTGATCTAGTCTGTATATGAAGTTAAACAGCCTTTCCACCAATTAGTAAAAATGGGAAGCCCATGACTTCAAGGGCATTGATTTAGCAACACCCATTCAAAAAGTTGGAAGTCTCAGAACATTGTAATATATGCTAAATGTGGCTGTAACTGCAACTTTTTGCATTGCATGTTCCAAACCAGAGCATTTGGACTGGAAATCTTTTGTTTGTCTTGTTTATCAGTGTGTGTACATTGTTGCTTGGAATTCATCTATGAAATTTTGTCAGGGTTCTCCATAGGATTTTGGAACTGGGTATTAAAACCCATGGGTGTCAAATTCTTATTGTAAAGCTCAATATTTTAAGTAAGTGTTTTATCATAATATAATTACAACTCTTGAGTAAACATCTTTTAGTCTACCAGTCAAGTTTCAAAGATGCAACAAGTGACAACTCTGGATCAGTTATTGACCACCTTACAAACAAGCTGCTTAATAATCTGATTAGTTTCTTTTGATTGCAAACTGTAATTGTGTAGCTTGGAAGGCCAGACTAATCAGATGTGACTGATCAGTTTACAGGTCATCTGCCTGACAACTCACCCATGAATATACAATTAAAACTGATAGCGCACTCATTTTTGTTAATACTTGCATAAATGAAGTCTCTGCACAGACAGGAAACCACATGACATCCATGAGCTTGGCTATTTACATGGATCAAGCCAACTTACAATGTAGCCTGTATACATGTACCTTAACATCCATCTCAAAATGTAAATGGACTTGATATTGCTAATTACTCTAAAATCAGTTATTGTTAGAACACTAAAGTAATGAATCATTTATTGTTGTTTTACTTTTATTTGTGTATGTGAACAAAGATTTCATTGTGTGAAATTACACCACATGGGACTCTGGGTTATTGAGATGAATCTGGAACGGCCTGTGACATGGACTTTTCTTTACGAAAAGCATTTCGTTACAGCATCCAATTTACCATCGCATCATTACAAAAGCTTTTGTTACAAGAGTTTTTTGTGATTGGTGAAACTTGTTAGTAGATTTACCACTACCTAATTCAAGTACTGGAGGACACCACTTCACCCCTTTCTTGCAAAAATGATACATATATTATGTTTGCAAAAGTTATTAAAGGTGTTTTGAATTCAAATCAAAGTATGTTAGATTAACAACCCATGTTTTAGTAGACCTAATTCGTTTTCACTGTAATTGATGTTTTATGTAATCGTCCATGACACCCTCTACCCCCTGTAACACGTCGTAATACAGGCTTAGACACACCCTCACCCCATAGTGTTATGTAATTTTTGAATGGTCCCCAAATGATTGTACAATTTACTGTTATAATTTTTTATTATTGTTACCAATCAATCTTGTATTTAAAAACTACCTGTCTCAAAATCAATATTTGTAACAAAAATGCCAAGTCACAAAAATGATGTAAAAAGAATGTACACTTCACAAGTTGTCCTAGTAACAATGTAGTGGTAATGAAGTGTCCAGTAAATAAATGTTTGGATCCCACTGAGACCATTCTTTGTATTTATTTTTCACTTTTTTATTACCATTTGTTATAACTCAGGAAAGTAAACAAATCAACAAATAGTGCAGAGATTTAAAAATACCAACCATGTGACACTGAAATCAAGCTACTTCGGAATATACAAATGTCATACTGTTCAATGTATGGGTTTAAGATAATTTGTATTTTCTATTATTAAAACTCCCAACTTGTTCCAAATATTTTGAAATGTTTTGACAATATCCAAATTAACATGCAATATCTATGCCAATGTTAAAGATAAACTAGCAAAGGTCACTACATTTACTCTTGTGATGATTACAAGTAAATTATATGGATTAAAAAAAAGGTTGTGCATTTTAAGCTCATGTAAAGATTAAAAACAAAAAGACACTTGTAAGGGTTGCAATAATAAAATGATGTCTGTCAGAAACTGGAAAATGTTTTTGTAGGCCTAAGTATGTATAGGAACAAATTGTGAATATCCTGCGGGCTTCCACACTAAGCTTTACCGTAACTCAAACTCTGGCACTTGCTTCAGAGCAAATGCAAATAATGAAAGCAAAATTAGACAGTTTAACTTGGCACACATTTGTATTTACTAACACATAGATTCAAAATATTGCATTGCTGTATCTGATGTTGCATCATAACAGGATTTTCCCCAACTGTAATTGGATTTCAAATTCACTGATAATTATTTTATTTAGCCCAGTATTATGATGCAATACAAACAACTTTATCACTCATTGGAAATGAAGAAGCAACATAGTTTTGTTTTTTATTATTACCAATTGTATATTACTTGTAGCTTCAGATTGCTAAATCTTAAGTTTGAGCCCTCCTTCCACACATTCAATTTTTGTCATCCAAAGGAAAATTCTAGTCATGTAGTAAGCCGGGGCAATCAAAATTGGAAGCACAATTTTACTGAATGTGCATGGGGTTGGTCCAAGGAATGTTGACTGTAATCCCAAATTTATGTGTATTGACATAACATGGAAAACTTTTAGTAAAATGTAAGCATTGTACATAATGGGTATCTTACAAAAGTATTTGTATTCAAGATATGCTTGTTGGTTGAAGACAAGTCGAAGTGAAAGGTGGTGTTTACATAAAATATATTTGTCCATTATACAGCTTGCATATTGTATTTGCATAACCTCTAGAAATTCTGAAATGCATATCTACGTTTTTTTTTTCTCAGTATCTCTGTCTATTGTATATGGTATTTACTCTCCTCTACCACAAACTTTTGCTCAATTGGCAATGCATGATAAAAATAGTAGTTGATAACTCTGACATTGAATACACACTATGTTGAATTGCACTCTGTAATAGGTTGTGAGGTGTACTTTGCCCTCTTGCCCATGCACAAAACGTTTACGAATTTGGAATTTTAAAATAATCCTTATTATTTCTCCAAATATAACTTGTTTCAGTAATTCCTATTATATCAGTCTTCCATTTTAACTAGACCTGAACTTGTCTGTTCTGTTCATAATACTCCTATATTAGAATAATAACTAAGCTTATTCTCGAGTCTCCTATCTTTATCTTTAAATTGATGCTTTATCTTAAAACTATTTAACTTGTTATGCTCTAATTCTCCTGTTCCCAAATTCCTCGTTGCCATAGGTATTGTATTAATTTGTTTATTTCCGTATTCTCTCACCAGTATGCAAGCTTACTTTCTATTGTCTGTAATGAATATATATGTAGAGTTTCCCCAAACATCCTGTAGCTTCACCTTCTTAAGTGGTTCCCATTACTAGTTTATAATTCACCCTGACCCTTAAACTATCCCATAGATCCAAGCTTTGAATCTTTAGTATTTTTTGTTTCCTGCATCTAGCCCAAGGAAGCACTCCTGAAAGGGCTACATCATTTTATTCCTAAACCTCTGAAGTAGTTCTTTATATTTTCTTAAGGAGCTGATTTGCAATTCCCATCATAATTTCTGTTCCTTGGTACTAGCAGCTAAACTTCCAATATGCTGTAATGTGTTGTACTCTAGAACCTGGCAAGCAGATTCTGGTTACATCCTTTCTGTGTACTGCTCCACAAATAAGCAGTTGCCAGTCCCAACCAGGAATAATTATTTGTTTATGTAAAAATAGTTCATATGCATGACAACATCCTCTCCAGACAACTTGAACATCTGCCCTTTTGTTTTTGTTGATTACATTGACCTATTATTGTGTATTCATTGAGATCTTACTTAAATACCATGTTTTTGTGGTTGAACTTGTCAGTCCTTTGTGTAAATGGAAGAATTAAGTTATTTATACTATAATATTATACTTATAGCTGGTAATACTTTTTCTTTTCAAACATTTTTTTTTCTTCAAATTTTGAAGTATTAATGACACAAATTTAGACTTGTAACCAATTTTATGTTTCTATATTTATCAAAGTGTGTCCTAAATTCTGTTAAGTTAATGACTAAATTTACATCCAGAAATGTGTTAAGGATAAGTATAGTATTTTCAAGGGAAGTATGTAATTGTTATAAACAATTCCACATTTAAAGTAGGTGGTTAGAATATGCAGATACTACCATAAATGATTTGTTTTACTTGTATGGTAGTGGTAACAAGTTTTTGTTTTGTAGGTTACTTGTGAGTACTATTTTGACCAAGGTGCAGCTGATCCAGTGAGAGTTCACACTGTTGTGGTTTCCACTCAACATACAGACAATATACCATTGGAAGATGTACGTCACGAGGTCATGGAGAAAGTCATCAAGGAAGTAATTCCTGCTAGATATCTTGACAAGCAGACAATCTACCACATTAACCCCTGTGGCAGCTTTATTTTGGGTGGCCCGATGGTAAGTTAGCATATTTGTTGAGATATGAAATGTTTATTAAGAGGGTTTTAATTAAAATTGTTAACGTTGTCTTGTAAAAAGAAGTACTTGAAAGTATTTACACATAAATGGAAAGTCTTGTTAAATTGTTTTTGGATCACCTTTTTTTCTTCTTTAACATAAACAGAGTAACCCAAACCCCCTTTTTGAGATTGAGGAGATATTGTGGTAATTTTATTTTGTCATGCATGTTTAAGATTACAAATTCTCTATATTAAAGCACTGCTTACCAAACAGTGAGGTTTTAAACCTGAACTTAGAAATTTTAAATATGCTGTATTTTTGAAATGTAAATATTCCAAAATTCAATTGCTCAAGTACAGTTTGTAGTGTAGTGAGTTAAAGAATAAAAGTTATTAAATTATGGAATACGTTGCTACTTCATATATGTTTATTAGTTATAAATAAAAAGCAATGTTAAAATAGTTTAGTGTAACATGTACATGGTGTATTCAGGGTGACGCAGGCTTAACTGGCAGAAAGATTATTGTTGATACCTATGGTGGATGGGGAGCTCATGGAGGTGGAGCATTTTCTGGCAAAGATCCAACAAAAGTGGATCGGTCTGCAGCCTATGCAGCCCGTTGGGTGGCCAAGTCTTTGGTAAAGGCTGGACTGTGTAGAAGGTGTCTTGTACAGGTCAGAAGTGCAAACTTTTATAACTTTGGACTATTTTCCAATAACTTCTTCATTAGATGGCAGTAATATCATTCCTATTACAGTAAATCTTGTTTCTATTTTGATATATGTTTAATTATAAATATTTTTTTGTAATTTTGTTTTTCTGTAGGATTTAAGAGTTATTAAACAAATTACTTTAATTTAAATACTTTTTCTAAACCATTTCTGAGGACCATATGTTACAAGTATGTAAGTGTTTCTCTTCAAACTTAATCTGGACTACATATTCTTTTAGTTTTAAAAGTTAAAATGAAAGGTTATTAATTTAAATTTGTTTAATGCATAAAAGAAATGCTATGGCCTACGGCTTTGAAATACTAAAGTACTTGCAGAAAATAAAAAAAAATACTTGTTTTTGAATGGATGGCATAAAGACAGAAGTAGATACACTTTGACATAATTCTTAATATAATTAAGTATGAAGACATCAAAACTAATTGGCTGACAAATTATACATCAACTGGTACAAATACACATTCTTTTAACTTCTTTTGTGTTGTAAATGTTGAATACTGAATAAAATATAGTAATTAAAAGACCTTATCCTGATTTGTTCTGGAGTCCTGCACTATATAAACAAAGGATAAATGGAAGTTGTAAAATTGTATCAAGGCAAAATCCTGATTTATAAAATTTGGTCATTTCCCACCTTTTGATTTTTATGCAAGTCTGACATCTGATATATTGTGATGCAAGTGACTGGTTATGCATCCTGTGTGTTTAACCTTTTTGTAGTGGATAGATGTTCAGGTTGATCAGAGCACACTTGCAAATAGACTTTGAACATTTTATTCTTATTCTGTTACTGAAAAATATTGCAGTAATGATACTTTAGCATTATATACTACTTGTCTTGTTTACTTTCACAGATGTAAGTGAAAAAATGTTGAAACTATAATTTATATTGTGTCTAGATGTACGAATCATAAACATTGAACTCCTAGATGTTTGTATGTATTTCTCCCAATCATGTGTCAGTATTTTTGGTTAGCTTGACATTTTAGTTTTAAGGCTTCCTGTTTGTAACTGTGAATGTATTGACTGAACACACACTTATTGTATCACCTGGAATGGTACTAGTAAGATATACCACACCTTAGAAAAATAGCAGTATTGCCGTGTTGAAAGGTGGTTATTGTTCATATGTAAATCTTTGTCAATCACACCATGCTTGTATTATTTGTAGATGGCATTTGTCTGCTTCAATTAGCAAAATATACTGATGAATCTCTAGCTAAAACTGATTAGGATATATGAAATGGAAATGATCAATAACAAAAATAATCTTTCTTCTGTTGCTTTTTTTTTTTTCAAATGGTATTTCATAAAAATATGGTATATTGCAGCCTAAAATATACAAATACTAAAATTTTAAGAAATTTAATGCCAAAACTAAATTTAAAACATTAAGTTTAATGCAATTCAATTAATTATTTGCACTGAGATCTAAAAGAATGGGATATTGGTGATATCCTTCTGGTTGTAAGAAATTAACATTTGGTTGAAGTGCTTTTTCTTTGCACTTCCTGATGTTTTCAATATGAAGTATGATTATCACAAATACCAAAAGCAGCCTGGTAACAGTGATTCACGCTTAAAATCTGTTTTATTAAACGGAGCAATCAATGACCGCTTTGGATGAGATTCAACATGTCTCCCATACATGCTTAACTAGAGTAACGTCTAGTGCAAGTGCAGGTCACTGTTTAGTCGGTCCAGGGATGTGACTAGTTTAGCATGAAGAAGATTGGCATTATTATCCATTAGTTTCAAGTTGGTGCAAATTGCAGCAATATATACCAAGCACAAGGGTTTATAGGATATGGTCCCTTATTGAATGGCATTTGTCCCACTAGAGGTCCTTTTGTCCAGCAATTACTGTTCCTGCTATACCTCACTTTCCTTACCTCCATGTCTGTCATGTTTGTATGTGTGTGTTAAAAGGGGGTTGCATCTGTTTCTATATTCTCTTGAAATAAATATATTCCTGTTACCTGGCTGTAAGGTTGACATGGAGCTTTAGTATAAAAAATCATTTTTGTGCTCTTGATCCACTGCACATGTTGGCACCATTACAGGTAAGCTGCTTTATGCCTTGCTGTGAGTGTAATGCTCTTCGTCTCAACAATGATAATATCTACTTTTGAGAGCATCTGATTCTGAGTAGGTACCCTAAATCTGAGAGCAAGAATCAACAAATAGTAGCTACATTATTGTTTTGTATGATAATCTGAACAACTGTACCATTAATTTGAAAACAGTTCCACATTCTGCTTTTAACACTTGTAGCCAGTGTAGTGTGAAAGATGAATTTTAAAAATGTTTTTTTTTTTTTATCATTTAGGTTTCATATGCCATTGGTATTGCTGAACCATTATCAATAACTCTGTTTTCATATGGAACATCGGATAAAACTCAAAAAGAACTGTTGGAAATAGTGAAGAAAAACTTTGATCTACGACCAGGATGTATCATTAAGTAAGTAATTTAGTTAATCTTAAATAATTTTTCTTATAGAGCAATGGTCATTGCATCACATGACATGAATAGCATTAACAGTATTAATTTTATTAGCACCTTCCTCTCAACCTAGCAGTTCTTCTGACTGTGTTACGTAAATTATGTTCTGAAGAAAGTCGTAATTTAGGAGCTAGTGATATTTTTTTTCTTAAGTCTATGAGGAAAGAATAGTCATTATATTAAAACAAAAAAAATGATTTTTTTTAAAACATTGAAAGTTGTGAATTAAGTATTTTTAAGGGGTTTCCAAAGTAAAACTTGTTTCAGGTACTATTTTTCTAACATTCCTTTAATGATTAAAAAAAAATGTGTGTGTGTATATATCTGATTTTACTTTATTGTTTTTCCTTTAGGGAGCTAAATTTGAAACATCCAATATACCAGAAAACAAGTACCTATGGACACTTTGGGCGTGCAGATTTTCCATGGGAAATTCCAAAAAAACTGAAGTTTTGATGAGACAGCATTTTTATTTAATTAATACATAATTAGGGCATTTTGGGGGGCCCAAGGGGTAAAAGATCACTGTGAATGAATCACGGTAGGCATGGTATTGTTTAGTTTTCCAAAGTATGAATGTTGTATTCTTTCATGTTGGGTCAGAAGCAACTGCTTGAGAAGAAAATATTTTGGGGGACTTTCTTTTCCTGCCTGCTGCAAATGTGTTACTTAGAAAATGGCTATTCTCCCATGAGACTGATTTTTATACTCACAGGGGAAGCACATTTGTCTTGTGTTTATGAAGATTTGAATGGAAAAGAGCACTTTTCTTAAACACTCGGGTTCATGCCACACTGGTCTGCTCATCTTGACGCTTGTTTCTGACATATTTCTGTGTATCTGTTAGGTTTTCATGTAATGAGCTTACATACTGTAGGTTTTAGTTGAAAGGGATATTGGAATTTAATTTTTTTTAATGGTTCTTTTTTATACATACATGTTGCACTGGGTGATAAAAGTTCATTTACTATAGACTGTCTTGACTTCAAATTAAAAGTAAGTGTTCCAGTTTTGAAAGAAGTGTATAAATATAGTAAGAATTTAAATTTAAACTATTTACTGTACAGATTCTGAAACTCAGACTGTTGCAGACAAATAAATTGGCAAGTTTTTATTTTATATTTATTTTTTTGTAAAAAAAAAAAAAAAATGGGGGAGGGCAAGACTGTATAACACATGTCATTATCTTGTACTCTATTCATGTATTAGTAAAAAAAATAATTTTTTTTCAAATATTATTGAATATATAACCAATTCATAATAGGAAAAGAAAATGCAGTTTAAACACTTCATGACAATTATTTGTGTGCAAATCTTTTAATTTATATATTGATATAAATATTTTAGCTTTCTTAGTTTATTGCATCCAGTGATCATTGGGACTGAAAAAAAGTAACTGTAGATTCACTTGACTTTTCTATTAATTGTTTATTGTAGCAGTTTTAAGTAGAATATACAGAAATGGTCGGGAAAACATTTGCTCCTTGGTTTATACATATATATATTTTTACATAGACTGTACTAAACTATCATGCACTATATACATCTTGAGTTTATTCTCATTCCATTAGTGTGGGTTTGCCTCACTGACAAGGGCCTTAGGGGGACCTACATCATGTGCTTTTACTTTGGTTGTTGAACTACTACCTGTTCAAATAGTTATGCAGAATAAGAGAAACTTTAAACATGTGCTATTTAACATATGCCAGTATAACTTAATTTTTTTAAGTTTTAGTGAATGAGGATATTAGCCCACTAAAGAAAGGAGATATAAATAAAATATCATGTCTATTCTTGACTTGTAAGTAATTGATCTTGAGTAATATTTGGAATCAAAGTTTTGTTTAGCGTGAAGACTAACTCATTTGGTTGATGTTCTGTCATATTTGCAACTTCATTTGAATAAGGTATGTATACAAGTGTATGTAACTTGGCACTGCCCTGGATATCAATAAGGTATGTATGTAACTTGGCACTGCCCTGGATCTAAATTAAAGCTTTTTTGTGAAAAGATGTTGATGTAAAATTTTTTTTGAGAATCTTTTATGAAATAAGTCACAAAATTGTTATAATGACTTGGGAGCTGAGAAGCATACTTATTTCAGTACCTCTACTTGACTGACACTAATGCACCTTCTGCAACTCAAATCTCTGCATGTTTTTCTATCGAGTGTCTGAAAGTTATAAACATCTTTAAAATCATCTTAAAGTGAGGTAATCATTACTGGAGAAAGTTCTGGTGTAATCAAATGATTCACTGAACAGAAACTTAAGTGTGAAATACTACAACAAGGACAACCTTATCAAGATTTATGTATTCATACTCCTGTTTATGGCAGCACAAAGGAGAAACGTGTACTATGACAGGGTATTAGATTAAGCCATTTCTAAACTTTTACTTTTTATCTGACAGTATTTTTCATCTTAATTACTGTTGGTTCACTACTGTTAATACAAATACATTTTGATATACACTTTTTGTTTAAAAATGACTCAAAGCACACCTGTTCTTTGATGCTTTTTTTTTTTTCTTTGATACATTGCTCTTGCTTTGCAGGATGTCCACCAGTCCCAGTAGTGAAGAAATTCCCCTTACACTGCTTGATTTTGAAGTTTCTTTGTATACATGTATTACCAGAATTTATATATTTACATATTTATTCCTGAGCAAAACTCAGGTTGTGGTGATTACTCTGTAAACTCACGTTGTTAAGAGAAATTTTTAGACTATTCTTGTTCTTACCATTAATCTGACCACAAGTTAGTAAAGAGTAGATAACTTTATCTAATATGGAAACTGTCCAATATAACGAGGTAACTCTTGGCTATCTCATGTTTTCATGAATAGTTATTTTTAAAGACAATTCATTGGTTGATTTTATGGGTAGTATTTGTTCCACTGTTTTTCAGTGTATATTCTTGGACCACATTATATTTTTTCATGAACTACTTTTCATGTTACTGTTCTATTGAGAGACTACATGCTGTTTTTTCTTTGTGGATTGACATTGTAACTGCCAGGCAAAACCCACATAGACTAAATGCCCTTCCACTAGTAACTAGTTCTGCATTGGGGGTGGCTATGTCTTAACCTTAGGATATCTAACCAGGTACGTGTGTGGTTGAAAATCAAAATAATTACGACCAGCATAGTTTATCTTAGATAATTACTGTAGTGAAACTGAATATTAAATACATCAAAAAGTTCTTACAGATACCTTATTTAAATACAACCTTTCTCTGCGAAATGCAAATTTACAGTAACTCTTTTATTGCTATGTCTTTAGATAACTTCTTGTACTGATTTTATATACATTAGCATTTTGACTTCTGTATATTTTGAAGTTCAAATTTTCTTCTTGGTAAATCATTATAGATTGAAACATACAAAAAGACTGATTCTCAAAGACATATTCCTACTTGGTCAACTTGCAAATTAAGTGTCTTCTCTTTGAATTGTCTTATTAGTCTTGGCTTTGTTAATGTGTGTTAAATTGGACATTTTCAAAATTGAAATGTGCTGCGGGTAATTATAGAGTTTTGCGTGTGTGTATGTGTGTGTGTGTACATATATATATATAAGTGGGGGGGGGGGTAACAAAGAAAACAGATGCATGTTTTAACATTTCATTGCTTACCCCTAGCTGGGAAACTTTGAGAAATTTAAAGGGAAATATCCTTTCTTCTTGGTGGTACAAAAAGTTCCAAACTAGCATGTGGTTAATATTATACTTTTAATTACTAAAATGAACACTGTATGTGGTGTTAAGTATGTGCCCATGGCAGTGAAAGTATTTTAGCATTTTAACTACACCTTGTTTATTTCGGGTAAGATACAAACTTTTATGTACAAGGTCGAGGCTGGCAGAACATAATTCATATTAGAACGAGTGTTGTGACACCTGACAATAATACATTAAATACTTTTATGTTTTGGGACAAAGTTTTAGTTCGTATTGGTGAAACAAATTACTGTACATGCAAAAAAAAAAATATCATAGAACTCCGTATTTAGTTAAGAATTATTCTACAAACAAAAATATGTAATTGTATTTACATCGGTAGAAATATTTGTCAACTACCAGTTCTCCAAGTTCTAGGGCACCATCTGATCACAAAACATACTGAAATTAGCATTTTATTCCCTTTTATAATTACACTTTTTCTTTTCTTTTTTTCTGTCGTACTTGTCAACTAATTAAAGTCAAATGGCTATCCGATATTCACGCGTTTTAATGATATTTTCACCCTAACTATCTTGAATATTGGGGTACCTATTGTTTGATTCAAAATATCCTACGTGATCTTCCTTATTGAAAAATATCCACCAGAAACTGTATGAAATAGTGTTTCCTATTTTGAATTATCCCCGAGTGCCAAATGTATAGAACATTTGAAGTTTCAATGTAATAAACACTTTTGTGAACTGTGTTAAATTTATTTTTATATACGAACTTGTGTATGGCTTTGAGCCAGACGTGGCTTACTAATGGTTAGCGTGCCCGGACTGAAGGTTCGTAATTCGCGACTGTCGAAGAATCTAGTCGAGCGTTTCTCAAACTGGTACCCCGACCCAAAAGAGAGTCGCAAGATCATTTGAAAAATGTTTCAATAATGGGTGTTTTAAGAGTATGAATAATAATTTGTTATCATTGTTGTGGGGAGGGGTAGTCGTCACAGCCTGAAATAGTTTCGGGGGAAGAGCAGTAAAAAGGTTTTTGTAGCTTTGCGTGAAAACTGAAACAAACATTAAGGCTCTTTATAAATTATTAAGGATTCTTTAGAAGTTTACACTATCTCATGAACGTTTTGGGTTTCTATACAGACTTTTTTTTTATGCAATCGGAAGAATGCTAATGTTTAAAAATGTAGGTTGGATTCTTTTAAGTCTTAAGCTAGCCATTAAAGTGGAACATACAGAAGTTAAAAAAGATACTTGGACGGTTTCCAACTGACATCTTTGTATAAGTAATTTAAAAAAAATTAGGATTGACACAGCGGATTCTAATAACACTTAAATATGCTATATGGAAAGGAGACTTGTAACTAATCATGCATAAATAAATCGTGGTAACAAAAATGAATGTTCATTTGAATCTATAACAATCTGAAATTCAATGAACATATTCCCCTTTTTTTCATGTTTGCTGAACATATTTTACCGAAGTATAATCAGTAACTAAATTAATTAATTTATAAATTAAAGCAAGTATGAATTGGTAAACTTGTTTTCATATTTAAAAAAGAACCAAGATGTTATCGCTAATAATTAATACTAATTATTATAGTTTTGTAGAAGTTGAACTTATTTTACAAAAAAAAATATATATATATATATTAATAGTAGTTAATATGAGCAACCAATCATTATCATCTGTAAACAGTATGGGAAACTGCCTCAACCTCGTAGTTTGAAATGGAAAATTCCCAGCGCACGAGAGACACTTGCACGTTCATCACGTGTGCTTGCTTCCATTAATGAATAAGGACACGTGAAAATTCCGTTCTCGTTCTTCAGTGAATAGTATGTTTACTATATTGCAGGAAGTTTTGTGAATTGTAAACATTTTCAGGGATAAGAATCTCTCACCCACGATCGGCAGTTTCACGCCCTTTTTTTTTTCTTCTTTTTTTTGAGACAGATCACTGGCCATTCACGAGATTAATGTAAAAGCACATGCCACGGAAAACGTTTATTATAAGTCCAGGAAGTACATTCGGGAGTCTGAAAGTCTATTTTACCAATGGCAAATACTCTTTCTAAATCAGGGATCGGCTCTGTCGGTGTGCCATATTAGAATTAGCACTTGCGTGTTGACTTCGCATTCTTTAGAGTAAGACAGTACTGAAAGCAGATCGATAATAAAAATATAATTTGTAGAATTATTATTGGTTTATTTTAAATGAATAGCTATTATTTTTAAAACATTACACTGAACGAATTAACAGTTATTGTGGAAAGCTAATTCTGTATGAATATCTAAATATTAAATTAAAATGCGCTAATTTCCTTTAAAAAATAATCCATTCTCTACACTTTTTCAACCCTTCATTCAGTGGTGTCGATCGTGGACTCTTGGGTGCTTTTTGTTCTCCAGATTTGCCTATTCTCGTCCCAGATTTTAAGAAGAAAACTGACGCTCAGTGTGTAAAAGTTTTGTCTCAATACCGAAAGAATAATTTTGAATCCATTCAGAGAGAAACTACTACGATTATATACTCAAGTATGTGTATATGTGGCTGAGGGTTTTTGTTGGCAGGTGTTTATGGCTACCGGCACTAATTTTCAGGATCTGAATTTTTTTTTGGGGGGGGGGATTAGTCAAATCATTCGTGGTTTTAACGCTTGTTTTCTTTCAATTTAGTATCACTGTTATTAAATCATAGTAAAGTGTAACGAAGTTAAATATTTTAGTCATTGCTAGATTTAACTGTTGGTTTCATATAAATAGATCAAAAACACTAGGGGTATTTCTAAAGTTGGCAACATGGAAGATTCGGTTTAAAAACTTAGCAGTTTTTTATATTATTTGCACTGTAGTTTAGTATGATAGGCGGTTGTTAAGTGTGAATAATTAATTGGACTATCATACAAGGCCACACGAAACGTTCTGGAGAACCGAAAGTTCGATTTCCCGCAGCAGTTAAGATATGAAATTACCTGAACATAAGCTGATTTTGAGCAAAAACTTGACAAAAAAAAGTGGCATACAACTGACTCATCTAGTTAAGAATAACGTCTAAATTATTCGTACGGTTATAGCCATAAGTGAAGACTTTCATTTTTAGTCGGCTGGTAGGGGTCTGATTTCTATTTTTTTTATGTATCTTGGCTCGTTTTCAATGAAGTCTATCAGTGTCAAGGCTCAGTTTAAGTTTAGTAACGGCGGGAAAGCAATGGGTAAGGGAGGTGTGTAATAAAAATTCGGTGATATAAGTATTAGAAAGTATTACATCCTGTTAGCGTGATACCTTAAAAGTAATTATACTGATATGATTTTACGAGTTGATTT